GTTATTTTCCATACAGCAAAAAAACATTTGCAAAGGACCAAACTGCATTAATACACATAATTTCATTTTGAAATGCAGGTATTAATAGCATTCCATGACATCTATAGTAGTTTAGTTTGATGTTCAGCTAGAACTATCAGAACTCTGAGGGTTAGGCCAGTGCAACTTGCTTTCAAAGCAGTTTGCAGCATTCCTTTATTTATTCACAATTCAACTTGAAGCTGCTTTGCTGTTTTTACCTGCTTAATGATTAGATAAAATTACAGTCCCTTAATCAAGGTACATGAGGGCTCTTCTGTGCCCTTCTGCAGCCTACTGCACCTATGCTATGGGCTAAACCTGCCAGGACCTCTGAATGCTGCTGAGATCAGCTGCCACAGAACTGAGTAACATCATTTCTTCAGGAGTGTTCTTGAGCACATCCTCAAGTCTCACTGAAGTCAACTACTAAGTTAGTTGAGGGAATCAGTTATGAAGAGAGATCTGGGAGTCACACTGGACAAAAGTAAGAAGGAACTGAAAAGTGGAGAAGGAAAGAAAGAAGGGAAAATCCTAACCTTGAAAAAAACAACAGAAGGAAGGCAAGGATTTGAAATTAAACCTCTTGGCCTTGAACTGCTCACTTTACTGTGGCCATTGTAGGGATCTGTGCTACACTCTTCATTAGCTCCAGCACAAATATCTTTCATACTTCTCTGATTTCTTCATGACTTTTGCAAAATGCTTTGTTCTACACAAGTTTCCAGAGAAAATAATTTAAACAAATGTTAATAGCACAAATCTATCTGTAGCCCGAATTAACTACTTGTGAACTTAGCTAATTTAAATATATTAATGTAATTACTATTAACTGAACATTGAGGAAAGTGTGTTTACTAGGGAAACACAGCAGCAGTACGTTTGCAAGGACATAACCAATAATTGTGGTGAAGATCCATGAAAAAGAATTAAACACGTGATTAAGTAATGATTCGGTTGGTTTGCTCAATTTAGCACATACTGCTCCTATGATAATGAAAATAAGAGATGCTCGCATTATATAATTTATTCAGCAAATTTGACTTTCATGTGAACAAAATAAGAATAAATCATGCTGCGTGAAACAACAAGACCATTTCACTAAAGGAGCACTCAGACTTGCTCCTGCAGATCTTGCTTTGAGCGCCTGTAACCTACTGCTGCCACAGGGTGTTTCTGCCTATTTCAGAAAGGGATTTAAGAGATGAGGATGATAGACAGGAACTGTTCTGAAGTGGCTCAAAGGGAAATATCAAGACAGCATAACCCTCATCTTTCTTCAAACCACCCTTTCCATTTAATTCAGGGCTACATTGAGGCTAAGAACTCCTGTTAAGCTGCTGCTAAGATTATTTATTGATAGAATTTCATTTGCCTCATGTTTCCAGCACAACTCCTGTAGTTTTGCCTCTGACAACAGCGGTTCTTTCCTCCTAGGATCATTTATGCATATCCATTGCTCTTCCACTCCAAAAGAGCACTTCAGTAACCACAGCCAGCACTTACTGGCTGGGGATCTAAAATATACATACAGAACAGGAACAAAAACTTTCATGTTTAAGTTTTAATGTATCTAATTATTAGGCTTTGCTCAGAGATGACTTAAAGAACTGGACAACCCTGAAGTATGTATGGCTCTTTCCAAACTTTTCTCAACAGATACAGGTATTTCATCCAGATTTCAGAATCCGTTAAACCAACTTCTCTCTCTATCACTATTTGCACTAGCAAGCTGATTGTCATTTATGCTCATGATTTTATTTAAGTCAGTGACCCAGAGAAGACTAGTCGATCATATTTTAGACTGCAGCTTACTGTCAACAACCTATAAAAGGGCAAGATAAAGGACACTACACAATAGTTGATTGAAAAAGATCTAGCAGATACAGCAGTCTATAAAGGTCACAAGTTCGATACCAGGGAAAGCAAAACACAGGTAAACAAATTCAGAATCATCAATGCTAACATCTTGACTAACCCAGCTAGGATATTAAAGCTGTCTAGTTGTCTGTTCCAACTACATTCAATCTCCTATAGTTGGGTGGGTAAAAGAAACATTTACTGAACTTGTAACAGATAATAATAGGAGTTAGTGATCTAACTGTCCAGAGCACAATCAATTAATTTCACTAAAACAAACAAACAAACAAAAAGACTAGATAAAAGAACTAAAATCATAATTTGTTTCTCAGAGAATAAGAAAATCAACTAAAAACACAGATTTATGCATGAAATGGCACAAACTGACTTTTTCTAAAGATCTGCATCCCTTCATCTCTCAGTTAAATATTGCTATCAGGAGTTAGTGTTTTGAGGTTTGCAAAATATTTTACGGCTTCATTCAAGAAACTGGCTTCTGGTAGCTTGCGTCAATATGCATGTTGTAAAGTGGGCAGGGGTCTTTCAAAAATTTTTATAGGCAAGTGCTTTAACCATTAGCCTAATAAAGAAATGGACATAAGAATTACCTCAGCCTGTAATATTAGGTATTTTGTTTGGTTGGTTGTTTTTCGCTTGTTTGTTTTGTTTTAAAGAAAAGCATATACAACACCAGGGAGACCCGATTTGTTTGAGCTGTTTTGCATGCTCTCTCACTGTTGTGCATGACTCTTCAGAGTTAGGAACTCTTTATCCAGCTTCTTGTTATCTGAAAAAGAGAATACTTCAATACATTTTTAATGAATTTTCTGTAGTTAGAAGTGACATTTTCTCAGCTCATAAAGCAAAACTCTCCAGAGACCAAGCAGAAAAAGACATATATGATGTATATCCAAAACTTAAACAAATATAATTAAATAAGCTTGGAAACATTTCCCATCCTAGTGCTTTTGGCATTGTGTTCCAGCAGTTTCAAGTGCGCTAGTTTTCCAGTGAGATCCCTTCATCAACATTCCTTGGGTCAACAGTGCAAATACAACACTTCCATCAGCTTTGAAAACAGCTCAGCAATGGAAGGAAGTCTCCTGGCTCTTCTTAAAGACTAACCTTCAGCCCCACTTTCCAACAAAGAGAACCTTGTAATGTTTAATATAATTTCTCCACATCTTGCTTGCTTAACTAGTTTCTTTCTGCTCTCACACCAGCAGGAACCCTTCACTCCCTTTCTAACTACTCCAGCCTCCCTCAGCTGCGCTGTCTCTTGCAGTGAAGTCAATGGAACTGCCTGTCTGTGTATCTTCATTGGCTGCTGTTATTACATAAACTATCAAAATACAGGCAGATCCAGACTCATCCAGACTATTCCAAGCTGTTCCATCACATTTACCTGCAGCTGGATGGTTTCATGGATAGCTTTTTTCTGATCATCTCACATGATCTAACACAATGAGCTGCTTTTACCTTTAATATATTCCAAGTCACCACTCAGTAGATGAACAGCGATATTCAGGACTTAGTAGAAGAACAGGATACTTACACGTATCTTCTTCAGAGCTGTTCCAGCAATGCAACCCAAAGCATTTCTGTGAGACTAAGTCCTGCAGAAAGGAAGGAGGAAGAGGGCAGAGCAGAGTGGAAGGCAAAAAGCCAGAACCTGACTTCCCCAAATGTCAGGTTTTTTTTCTCTCATGAGAACTAAATACTAAGTGTAAAAGTAGAACATTTTAATGGGAACTGAGAGAACCTGTTCCCAGGTCAGTCTCAGATTTTTTACAGGGCTGTATTCAGAGCACTCACACAGCAAAACCCAGGCTCAATACCACAATTCAACCCAGACCAAAAACAAACCCACAAGAGAAGTCTCACACCCCTTCCTGCCAGAAACGAGCCCTGGTGTTTTCAAGAAACACAAATCACACTCAAGCCTTGCACCTGACAGAATTCACAGCTGTGATAACAACTGACTGAGGAGGTGCCTGACACCAGCCCTGACTGCTGTTTTGCTGTTTTAGGCTATAGATGAATTCCTTTAACACTGCCAGGAGCCAGAGCTCTGACTTCCAAAAAAACCTAGTCTCAGCATTCTCTGAAATCAACAGAAACATACCTGGGATGCTGCACAGTCTTTACAAGTAGCCTGACAGTAAAACTACCGGCCAAATCAAAACAATTGCCATTAATAAAACATACAGTGTGAGATAACATCATAACATTAAATGGCAGCATCAGCACAAACAACTAGTTTGCACATCAGGCTTGTAAAGCACACCCACAGAAGCCAGGAGAAAGTGATGCAGAATCTCTCAAATCTAAGAAATAGCTGTGGCTGTCAAACAGATTTCTCAGTGTCAAAATCTGTCCCTGAAGCAAACAGCAATTACAGCACTTTGAAGCACTGTAAGCCATTCTGACAGCTCTCATCTCAGCCTGCAAAAAAGATCTGATGTTCCTGGCCACCTATAGAAAAAGAAATAAGGGTGCCACACTCCCTGCCCTGCACAGGCCACAGGTACAAACTGAAAAGGTTTTTCCATACATCTCTCTCCTTGTGTGTATTTACTGCTAGGTAAGCTTTCAGTTCTCACTGAAACACAGTTTCTGCAAGTCTGAAGTCTGCCTTCTGATGCATGGGAGCTGCATCAGGCCCAAGCATAAATCATTAGAAAGTCACCTTTGGTCACAGAATGAAATAGAGCAGGTGACAACCAACAAGATGGCAGATAAAGCAAGGAGTAAGCACTGATTACAGCACATCAAGGAAAGAAATAAAATAGGATGAAGCGGGCAGCAGTACTATGAATATTATTTGTTTCTGCTACTGTGAGATAAGTGAGATAATTTGTTTAGCTCTCAGCTGGTTAACCTAATGAGACACACCTTGACAATGTGTAGTAAATTGGTGTCATTTCAATAATTGTACAACAGATTACCATTCATCATATTGCTAATGAAACTCTTCCCTTCATCTCTGCAAACATAAAGCATTAGGTTGATTGACTCATTAACAACATCAATGTCCTTGCACTAGCTGCAGGAGCATCTGTACCAAAGTTTGTTACTGATCTTCCTCTCCCTGCTTCAGGCCACAATTAGAAAGACAACTGTTTAAGAACTCTCACAATTGTATTTTATTTGACATCAGCAATATACACTGGAGTATAATAGGAACAATTTTTGCACAATCTTCCTTGCAAGATGGATTTATTTTCCAAATACAGAGATGTTCATTATACAGGAAGGTAACAGTTAAGCTGCACAATAGCAAAACAAGTTGACAGCTATCAAACCACCTTTTCAGTTTGTTAGAATAGTCAGGTGACCAGCACTGAATATATGCATTCCAAAACTTTAGTTAACCTCTGATTCTTCCAATCTTCCAGCCACATTGTTCCATGCAACAAAAATGTGCGTGAAGAATAACGTAAAAGAATTCAATCTCAAGGCCTCCCTTTCTTTGATTTCCTTTCTGGTTTTGCCCATGAATGAATCAATACAAACGGATTACACATCAGAATTTGCCATGGCACAAACTCTCACAGCATGCATCTAGGACATTCATATATTGCAGAAATAGACAAGTCAGGAGACTGGGGTCTTCCCTAAGAGGATGCTAAAGAGGCATTTTCCACTACGGTGGTTCAGTGCATTACTATCTGCATGCTACAACTTCTATGGAAAAGAAAGACTAAATAAAATACTCCAAAAAGCTTCATCTTTTTCACTGAGAGTATTTCTTACAATGGTCTAAGCTTAAATCCAAATGCTTTGGCTGCAATGGACAGGGCTTCACAGGAAAAGCTTACAATTAATTAAAAAAACTGCCAATGTTAACTTTTTCCTAGTTTTGCTTTGTTGAGATTTTGCTTTTTTTTTTTTTTTTTTTTTTTTTTATTTTATTTTATTTCCAACTTAAAAATGATACACAGTTATTTCAGCTGCTGTATCCACAACAGAAATTCCCCTTTTCTTTTTGTTTTTCAGCTGGTACAGCCATTACACTTTGAATTAGCCACTGTCACAGAAATTAGTACCTCTCTGAACACCATGATTTGAAAATTGAAAAGACGGTCCATGTTATTTATTAGATGTAGGTAAAGGCGAGGAGAAACACAGGAACTGTATCATACATTGAGTACACTATAACATGGATAATTTATTTATCGCAAGTAAATACTGCACTTGCAACCAGACTGGTATCCAGCTACACCCTGAATACTTCCAAATGAAGGGTCCTGGCCACAGCAGTGTTACCACATACCCTTCACTACATTATATAATTTTTACTGCCACAAGTCAAAGCCAGTGATTACTGATACTGCCGCCTTAGTTTCTAATCAGCATTTCTCCATTTGCCATCAGGAAGAGGAATAGAGAAGCTTAACGCCAATACCATAAAATAAATTATTTAAAATTACTGGGGAAAAAAAAAAACACTGCAAAAAGGAGTAGGACATGCTGAAGCAAGTGTTCAGAGATAATAGATTTAGTATTTTTTAAATTGCTAATGAGCAGGTCTAATAGCTCTCATATCTTACCTCAGCAAAACACTTAAGTCTCTAGGCTCAAGGCTCAGCTGTTCCTACCCAGAACAGGGATACCTTCTCCTGCTGAACAGATGTACAACAGAGGTGAGGAATTCACCTTTTTTTTTATTTTTTATTTTTATTTTTTAAATATAAACGAGATCAGAATTTAGTGTGGATGAGGGAAAGTAAGGGGAACTGAGCTTTGTTATTTTCTTCACAAATACATAGCGTAATGGAGAAGTAAGATTCAAAGAGAAAGCACCTTTTGCAATGTTTAAGTTTCATCAGGACAACTCGTAGGGGCATAGTAACTGTATCTTTCAAATCAGAGATGTTATTTTGTTTCTGGGATAGCCCACTGGCTGCTAGCATGGACTCTTTTTTGTGTTGTTTTTTTTTTTTTTAACTACTGTAGGACTAGGAAAATGACCACAGAGACCATGGACATTTACCAAGCAGCATGCTCAGTTTTATTACCATGCATATACACATCTGTCCAAGTGCTTTCCATATAAGAGCAATTAGCAGATCTCTAAAGAGAAGGCCAGAGTACAGTAAACTTTGATCCTTCTTTGGTATGTTCGGTACTGCTACAGTAGCAGCAGTGCTGAGCTGAAGAAGGTTACTTCAGCTCCAGTCTGACCTATTTTATACAATAAGGAAGCATTTTCCATTCCACCATAGTACTCTGAAGGCTCTGATTCACCATAGTACAGCTTGGATGCACAGCAATATGGATGCATCCCAGCTGGCAGTCACTGCTAGTTCTAATTTTTCTGGTCATCCAGCTACGTATCAGAAGTCTTAGGATTAAGTGTGCCAGTCCTCAGGCAGGATTTGCAACTGGTACTGAATTCCATATAACGCACAGCTTGCATCTAAGCCTCCCAGTTGGGAAGAAGTTTAAGGGGCATTTCTGTAAGTGGCTTAAGCCAGTATAAGATCTGCACCATCTCTGAAAGATGGAAGCTCACCTTCCTTTCATCTCCTCTTTCCAACCAGTGGTTCCTACCTTCTCCCACATCGGCAAGGAGAGTTCTCATGCAGGCAAATGATGTGCCACAAACCTACCTTTTCCTTTCACAAGATCCATGCTGTGCAAAAGCCAAGGTTGTAGACGTCCAAATGCAGCTGCACCCCACAAACTGTTGTACAGACCAGACTACTGACCAGAGAAAGGTCTGGTGCTAAAAAGCTCCCATGAACCTAAGTACAAGAATGAAGTCTTCAGATTTTGCAGGAAGGCAAGATAGTTCCAAAAACTGGCTGACATTGTAAAGAAAGCTTTTGTTGCTATTTTTTTTCCTTCCTCCTATAACTGCGCTAAACCAGACAGCAATCTCTCTATTTGGTCTCTTAAAAATAAAGCAAGTTAAATGCTAAAAGTTCCAAACTGCTTCTTTACTGAAAATGAAATATGCGAAGTTCCTGAAAGATAAAAAATGTTACTGTTTGTATTTTTGGCATAGAAATTCTCTAAATCAGAGAGAAACAGTGATATTTAATAAAACTTAATCTTTCTACTTTAGCATTCTGACTCTTAATTCTTCCTGGATGCCTGCGAAAATACCCTTTTTATGAAAACAACTGCAATGGAACATAACATGTCTCTAAGAGAACATTAGAGACTTCTTTTCTTTATTACTTTCTCATTGTACTCGTAATGAAGAAATTATTTCTGGACTGTTTCCTGCCAGATGCTGCTCTCATACCTTTAATAGTACATATCTTAAAATAACTGCTTGGTAGCAAGTAATTAAATTTTTCATCTTTACTAATGCTTTCCTTTTTCTTCCTTCTTTCCTCTTGCCTCAAATAACTTCACTTAAGCTCTTTCGTAAATCCTGGCCTTTTTTGTTGTTGTTGTACACTATTTATTAATTTATTATTAACAAAATTGACAAAATCACCTTTGTAACAATAAAAACAACCACATATGGCAACTGAGGTTCCAGAAAGAGTCTTCTTTAAAACCAGTGGAGTCAGAATAAGAATCCTCCAGTTGTTCTGGGCTGGATTAAAGTTGTTGTGAAATCCCATCAATCCCATCCTTTTCACCACCTCCTCTGTAGCAGCACTAACAACAGTGAGCCAAATCAGAAAACTGATCCAGCAGGCTGCTAACTCAGCCACTAGATAAACTTGCTTTTAGCTAGACAAGTTATTTCAGCCAGATCACCATCACCACATGGGTACATCTCCCAACACAAAGTAATAAGGTAGGAGTACTACCTTTAGCAGTAATTCAGTTTTATGGTGGAATATAATGGTCCTAATGATGTAATGCATAATAATATGGTCTGTCTGGTGCATAGCACTTCAGAGGCTGGTAGTACATAAGCCATCTCCCATCCACAGTCCATACAGATACAGATACTCATATTCTCAAGGACTGGATTAGGCAACAGTAGGTTCATTTCCACCATGATTGCTTCCGGTATTGATCTGCAAAGGCACCCATATGTTACAGAAGGATGCTATAATATAATTCTATGGGAACTATGGCTCTTCAAAATTCTTCAAACCTTCACAATTGGTCTGATGCCAGAAAACACTGCCATAAATTGATAAAACATGAAATACATGTACGTACAAAAAAATGTTTACTTGAAGTACAAAATGATTTGTGTAATAACCTCACAAAGTTTAGCAGCTAGGTTTTCAAGCTGTAAAACAGACTATGGAATTATTGTACAGTGAGGAGCTTTAAACTATCTCACATTTTGAAAGCACTGTAAATACATACTTGCACATGTTCTTAATTTCCAAGTGCTCCATACTTCTGTATCTTTACTTACCATGGAGATGAGACATCATCACAACATTTCAAAGCAAGACAAGTCAGTACTCAGTTTAATTTTGCAATGCATTGAACTCAGAAGTCCAGCTCAATGCTTCATAGAATCACTTGCTTCTTCTACCAATCTCCAGCTAAGATTTTTCCAAGGATCAAAACATATTCACAAATAGGATTATTTCTCTTCTTTACGTAAACAGACCATCTATAGAATGCTATGCCAATTAACAGCAGTTACTTCAACATAAATACAGCATACACTGAAACACACAGCAAATGCTGAAATAGATCAACAGCAGCAAGACCAACAACAGGAGATAACCCAAGTACCCAAGTCTCTGAGCTAGCTGAGGGTTAATTCAGTGGCACAATTTTTTATTTTCCTTCAGGATCTTTTTCTTGAAAATGGAGATAAGAAGATTAAATAAATAATTAATTAAATAATACCTACCTCACACCGTGCTTTGCATCCAAAAAGACAGTCTTTCAAAGTAAGACTGCTTGCAAGTGCATCTGGAGACTGCTTCCCTCAGAATTCAGAGCTTTGAATATTATTATAAATACATACACAGGATGTGATCACAGTAGTATTTTTAAATGCTAGAATTATGCTGCTATTTGAAGAAATCATTCAATAGCTGGTGGGAGTTTGGTTGTTCTCCTAAAAAGGGAATCTCCAAGGCTTTTTTTTTTGTTGTTCCCAGTTTATTTTTATTTCAAAAAATGTCATGATGCTCTTGGTTTCTCTTGCATAAAATAATGAAAACAGAATTCTGACCAGAAAACAGTAAGTTGCAGTGGATAGTAACTGGCTTGCTTTGAATAAGTCCTCTCTAGCAGAGCAATATAAAAAGAATAAGAAAGTGTAAGAGAGATCTGTAAATGCATTCAGTTACAGACTAGAATATAAAACGAATCAATTCTGAAAATGGTACCTACCACATTTTCTAATCCATGTGAACACAAAGTATGCTTCACAAGTTCTGTCAATTTTATAAGAATGGCATTTTTTTGTTCCCTCTAGTTTAGAACACAGTAAATAACATTAGCAAAGAGAGACCTTTTCTGAATTCTCTGTACTTCACGCTACTCACACTTGCTTGGAATGTGCCAAAAATTTACTTTCAAAGTCTGATGAATGTACAACATGCTTAAACTGCACACCACACTCACATTCTTCAAAAGTGCAACAACTTGCTTCTGAGTAGACACCTACAAATGAAGATTTAGTGAGGACTTAGAAGAATTAGTGTGTATCAGACTCTTGCAAAAACAACACACTTTTCCTTCCAGAAGAACCAACAGAACTTCCTATTTGAAGTGTATTTAAGTCAATAAAAAGCCCTGCATTGATGTCAGTACATTGTCTCCTAAACATAAGTAACTTACTTTCGAATCACACTGTGAAATAAATATTAACTCTTAGAAAAATTAAAAAAAAAAAAAAAAAAAAAACACTTTGGGAAAGATAAAGAGGCTTTCATCACCTAACTGGTTGCTTCTTTCCTAGACTAAATTCTTTGTTGTTTTGTTTGTTTATTTTAAATAACAGTATCCATAAGTCCATTTAACCATTGGATTTACTAAATTTACCCACTGTGCACTGTTTTACTTTGTGCTCATCAGACCATCTAGAAAAACATCACCCACTCTCCTCACTTCCCGTGGTGTCATGTAAGCTTACTGCCACATGTATCTGCAGTTCTCCAATACTTGGTTTTATCCATATCATCATTAAACAATATACTTCACCTAGGCTTCTCAGCCAGGCATTTGGCATTTTCCTAATAGGCCAGTTTAACTCCAGGATTAAACAAATCCAGGAACAGTATTTTTCAGCTATGTTGTAATTACAATAGTGTTAGCCACAGAACAGTTATCCATTTTAACAGAAGTTCCCTCCATCTCCAATAACACAAGGGCAGATGGTAAAGTTTGGATCTAGATAAATATACACTGTGGATTCTGACATTCTTACACAGTACACAGTCTCTTCACTACATCATAAGGTTCACTGCATCAGAGTGACATGCAGGAAATATGCAAGTAAACAGAAGAAAACAGAATTCTGCACATATTCAAAAGATGAATACATTCATTTTTCTCTGAAACAGTGGTTCAATCCTATTACCTATACACACTTGGCTTTCCCAGCTTTTTGCAAAGTCCATCCTAAGTAATGAAAATGATGAGATGCCCAAAGTTGCATTTGAACTCCCTGTAATCAATAAATTTTAGTTCCTGTTAAACAAAAACCTTTAGGCACATTCCTTAATAAATGATTTGCCTCTTTCATTCAATTATCATGTGATCAACTTGACAGATTGTAAAGTAATGTAGATGGAATAACTTAACAGTTTACAAAACCTGTTTGTTTTTTTTTTTTTTCCTAAAAATCATGCAGGAAAAGAAACCTAGAGTGTCTCAGAAATGTGCCACTGATATCCAATTGATTGAAACAAGTCAACTCTGTAGGAGAAAAGCCGGACTCCAATTCAGCTGCTGAACTCTAAGAGCTCAGGCCATCATGTGGTACTGGGGTCTAGGTTTGCCTCTTCATTATTCTAGTAACTGCTGTGAAAACTCTTAATAGTGAGCTAATATACATTTGACCTTGCTATGTTGACCTCACAACTGCCTACAAAATATGTTTCAATGCATGTGAAGGCAATCTCCTCAAACTGAGCTTTTAACTGCTTTTCTCAAATGACTCCATTACTGGTTGGGGCTACATCACTGAAATCAATAGGAGTTTTGCTATTGGTAACAATATCTCTGAGGAAACAGCAGTTAGTGGGATTGATCTTTGTTTCTTGGTAAGGTTTTTTCTCTCTTTATACACTTTTTTTTCTTGGTAATAAAGATGACTGAAGTGGTTGGTTAGTTCTAAATGGTTATGTTACTGTCAAGAGAGACTGCCTAACAAAACCAATATTAAAAAAAAAAAATCAAAATAAACACCAAAAAACCCACAATTCCTGTAAAGTTTATTACACTCAAAATCAGCCCTAGAGATCTATGTGGGCACTAAAGTAACATGTGCAACATTCTCCCTTTGGATTTTATTAACCAGTATTGAACATTTCACGCTCGATATTTAAGTATATTCCTGCTTCTTTTTTTTTTTTTCATGCTTCTAACTTGCACAGTATTCAGAACCTGCCAGTATTTCTGAGTATACTGCAGGCTGTTCACTGTTTCTGATCATTCTGCAAGGAGATTAAATATGATGAAAAACTCCCTGTTTACGTTGCCCTTATGTACTTTGGAAAGCTACTTATGGTAATTTCTTCTTATACTGTAACACAATAATGTAGCACAGTACAGTAAATTAGGCTCATAATGAGATATATATATATATATATATATATATCTCATTATGAATATAAACATGCAAACACCAGAAGGTAATTCAGGAATTGACTGAATTGACTGATGGATTAAAAACATATTTGTTCTGAGATATCATGAAAAATTTCTTGTAACAAGGAAGCACAGAAATTAGTATTTTGAATTCAAATAATTCCTGCAATCATTTTCTCCTTCTTTTAAGTCTTTAAAATGAAACAGGACCTACAAACAAATCCAAATAGCACATCTACTTCAACCTTGGCTAAACAGCCTGAACCAGTGTTAATTCTACTGAACAATCCACAAAGAAAGCTGATTATATGAGCAGTATAGGGGGATGGGTGGAAAGGAAGAGACAGCTGTTTAGAGTAAATCATTTAGAGCTCTGTCTAACAGAAAACATCCCCGTTTTTCATCAGAGAGAAAAGCAAAGAGTAATTTCAATAACTTTTGGAGCAAACACTAGGTTCTCAACACATAAAGCCATTGTTCTTCACACTAGAAAAAAATTACCCTTTGTGCAATTATGACCAACAATTGCCAGAGGATTAGGGCTTTTTTCTTCATTTTCACAAAGTAAACAAATGATCTCTGTTGTAGAGTATCTGCTATTCTGACAATTTGCAATAATGTGACTAAATTAGGGAAGCACAGCCAGAGCTCCCAACAATACATCTGAAGATGCAAACTACTGCAGCTTGGCAACCTGCATGTGTGCTCCATTTCCAATCCCATGTTTTGGAATGTGTAATGGTTTTCTAAGGAGCATTTTAATCTCAGGCTTCTTTTACATACAAAGGGAAAAGACTTTGCCTACCTTCTTGAGAACATCACTTAAGTGAACAAAAAAAGAGTAAGGTTTTTTATACTTTTTATACTATTATATCATGATAAAGACACGTAAGACATTCCAAATCCTATGAATCCTACCATGTACATTCCAATGTTCTATACGAAACGGTAGCCTAGAATCCATGGTACATGCTGTATTATACACCTCTTACAGTCTCCAAGATCCTATAAGCTAGCAGGTCAGATTCTCAGCTGCAAAATAGCTACCATGCTTGGATTGATAGAGATGTATGGTCACTGTACAGTCATTCTCATCCTAGTTCTGTGTAGGGCTGTCTTGATTATCTCAGCTACTTGTGACTTCCATCAGATTCTCAGTCACTTTATCAAATTACTTGCACAGAAAACTCCAGAACACCCACCTCAATGACCCCAGCATAAAACTTTGACAATGGGCTACTAATCTGCCATGTCAATTAACTGTAGTTAACGATTAGTCCAGGCAAAGGAGAATTGGCTTCTCTTTAATCCTTTAAAAACACAGCCAGATCACAGCTGAGAACTTGGCCTTTGATATTCACTTGTCTTGTATAGAAATGCTAACCGTTTTCCTAGCAAGATGGAACTCCACAAAAGCCTTCAGACTGATGGCCAGCATATCCTCCTCTCATGTAGGTGAAAAGAACACTGTTGATAAGATTTTTATCAAGCTTAAACTGTTCACTTCTTTTTTTAAATAAAGAAAAGTAGCTGTCTGTTCATACACTGAACCACTAAGGAAATCACCCACAGTGTAAGAAAAACTAATGGATCATAAATACACCTCATGTTTCCCCTGCTTCATCTAGAAACACGCTTTTTGGATTTATGTCACAGTGTTCCTTCACAAAAGGGTGTCTCACATTCAAAGTTGTGCCATAGCAACACACATCAAAGCACAGGAAAATATGTTTTCCTTGATTCTGAAGCCACTTCAAAATTTGTTGTAAATTTAACTTGACTTAAACTATATAATAAAAGAGAGAGAGAAATATGTGTTCAAAGGAAATCAGAGGTGCGTGACTGAAAAATATGGAAAACAAACAAAACAAAACAACAATTAACAAATCCAAAAGCATCCAAAAGAAAGAACAAAGAATTCAAAAATTTGAACACTGTGGACCTGGTTCCATTCTACCATGTGATGCAATTTAGAAATTTATCCACTCAAGCTGGTCAGCACTGTCTAAGAAGAATCACATTTAAGATCACCTTACCAAACAAAAAATTCCAATTTTGAGAATTACTTCAGATTTCAGATTTATAAGGTTAATTCATTCTTATTTTGAAGTAAGAATTTCCAAGGTTGCAATGCAAAATAATGCTTCGTAAAAATATATGGAGCTCTACAACTCCTTTGCATAACTCTTCTGGAGTTGCACTTTCCCAGGCTGGACTCTATTTTCTTTTTCCATTGCTCATTTTCCTCCCATTCTGCCAATTTTAGCCTAGCACAAAAAGTCCATTTCTAGCAGGTACTGTCAAAATACTCAGGACATGGGCCTTGCAGTCAAGAAATGCAATGCTGTGTCCAAATGACAGTACTAGGTGCCTCAGGGATCCATGACAATCAACACGCATAATTCCTAACAGTGGAGATGAATTCCACTGCACAGTTCTGCACCTCCATCTTTGATTTTTTCCTGTGCATATTTCTCCCAGAGGCAAGTAGTCTGTTTGAAGAGTGATGATTCACTCCTAGCTGAAGGGAGGAAGAGAATTCTGTTACCTATAATTAAGAATTACCTCATTATCCCCAAGATCTCCAGCCTTTACAATGGGAAAGTAGCACACAGCTTTTATAAATAAGAATTATTGACTTTTTAAATAGTTTCAAAAGAAGAAACTCTGCATCAAATGTGAGTATAATTTTTGAACTACTACATAGCAGCAAAACTACATTAGACTTTCTGATTTTTCCATGGTATCCTTGGATAGATACACCACCCAGTAGACCATGTTAAATGCTCCAAAGGTAACGGGAAATAAAATTCGTGCGTATTTGTCTATCTTACTAGTGCCAGAATGAGAGGCAGGGGGAACAGGTGGTGTGACAGCAGATGGTTTTGCAGATGCTCCTAATGTATGAGGTGTGGTGGTCTGAATCTGCTCCAGTCTAGATCCAAGCAAGTGCTGAATGGAAGGGGATCCAACTGTGGCATGCTGGGATACAAATCCAGTTAAAATTGGGGTAGAAGGAGGAGCTGGAGGGGTAGCTCTTGCAGAAGATAATGTCTCTGATGCATTAATACGTGTGAAAGGGTTGGGACTTGATGCAGAAAGGGAGTGGGGTGTAATGTCAGAAGACCCCTGAGCTACAGAGGGAGGCTGGATGGAACTGTGCCTTGTGTCAATTCGACTCCCACCATCAGCTTCTGACTGTACTGTGGCATTCGTTCTTTTCCTCACATTTGAATTGGCGTCTGTACTCTGCAAAGTTACAAAAAAATACTAGTCATTCTTAGAATAAACACATGAACAGAAGCAATGGAAACTTTATAATCAAATATTAAAAGAAAAATACAAATATCAATAGTAGCTTGATCTTGAAGAATAAAAATATCACATGTTCATGGGAACAGATTTAATAGCATATAAAATTATAAACAGGAATTCCTTTTACCTGTCACTGTAATAAAGGTAAACATACCTGACACTTCACACTCAATGATATCCCTATGTAAACTTAGTACCATGAAGCTAAACATTCTTGGCTAGGGTTTTTTCCAGGTTCACCCTCAAAGAAAATACTCTTCGTTTGCATATTTCTTTGATGATATAAAAATAGTCTAGAACTGACCTACCAGCCAATATGGTTTTTGCATTTTCTTCTCTAGAAATGTAACTACTATACATTAGGAACTCTAGACATCTTCCAGAGCAGAGAAAATGACATTATTTACCAAACCAAGTTTCCCCTTTTCCTGTTCATTCAGAAATAAAGCCAATGCATTTTCACATTAACCACAGGCAATAAATTATCAAGCTGCAAATGAACCAGTGAATAAACCAGTCTTCCATCTACTACACCCTTCCAGTTATTAACTAAGAAAAGTGGTGAAATTTCTGTCTTCAGGCAAGTCTGGATGACATTGTGAACAATACACTTAAGTCAAGTAGTACTTAGGCTGTGTAAGAAACTGAAGGACAGATAAGAATTTAGAGATGGCAAATCCAGCAGGGTTTAATGTTTTACTGATTTCTGAGAGTTCTTCTCTGCATGTAAGAATAACCATAATACCATCTCCTCCTGGAAATGTACCTGAAAAACAGACTTTTGAACCATCAGCCCTACACTTTCTAGATATAATACATGAATATGTTTTGCAAAGAGGCATACTGTTTGTCAAGAGACATGGATTTAATCACTGGTAGGATACGCATATTCTACAGAAGCAACACAGGCATAAATACAGATAGAACTAAATAACCATCAAAAATACATTTTGCCCATCTCTAAGTTATGCTTCTCAAGCATCACCTTGCATCATCACATGCTGCTATAGCTTTGTCTCCATTACTTCCTCTTTTTTTTCCCTCCATACCAAAGAATCCAGCCAAAACTCACAGCACAAGGAAGAGAAAGACAGAAAGTAGGCAGCAATCTCCCTTTCATCCAATAGCTGTTCTCTCAGCTAAATGCTCAAGCAGATTATAAATGGGGCATTATTTGAGGTACCAGTGCCTTGAACAGTGAGGAGAGTGACAACCATGCCTGCTGGCTGCATCACTTGCATGCAGTTGTTTTGTTCAAGGAAACAGAAATAGGAGCTGAAAAAATATCTAGGAAAAAAAAGGAATAAAAATATGCACACACATACACAAGGACTGCTCTGGAAGAAATGCTTTCTATTTTATTATGTTGGCTCATGATGTCAGAGGCAGATGTGGGTGGTATGGCAGTAGAGGGTGAACCTTTCCAACAATATTCCATTACATACTGTTGCCATGTGACAGATGGTAGGAAAGGGGTACTCTGACAAAACAGTGTCTGACATGGAAGCGCATAGGTACAGCAAAGGTATGGAATTGAATTCCTCCATGTAGAAACATTTTTACCCATTGAATTTCATTGACCCTAGCTGAATACTCATGAAAACCAAACAGTGGATGTGAGTACAGTGAGGCGGGGGATAGTGCATTTCAGCAAAGGCAACAGCACCACGAAATCTCAATCAGCTCATCCACTTACATCAGCTAACGGTGGTATGTTGGAAAACAGGGTTGTGTAGCTGAGAATTTGCTTTATCAAATAGTGCTGTTGTGCTCCTTGTACTTCTTGCTGTTTCCATGAAAATAAATAGAAGCCATTACTTTCAGAGCTACCTATGTATATCACGGGAATTTCCAACACTCCCATCATGATCAGAATGCTGGCCCCAAATTCAGTTCATTGCAGAACAAATCAGTCACCGGTAGTATTACTACCTTGAATTTGTCTGAAACTGTAACATACACAGCCATGAACAGCAGCCAGTTCACAGCTAACATATTTGCCAGCTCATGGTTGATACATTAAAGAATCCCTCCTAAGTTTCATGATTTTCCTTTCTGCACAGAACTGTGTCAATACATTTTTTAAATTTTTATTCATGAGCGCAATTTGAAGAAGCAGAAGTCTGGAATTACTACATAAGTACTAAAGGAAACTTACATCCTGAAAGAAACAATTATTGTACTGTTCGAAAGGGCAACCTGAGTCACTCTTTGGGAAGTGCAGAAATACACACAGGTGTGCAATTGGGTACTTTCACATGAGGGTTATCAGTGACCCATGAACAGTAGAGTAGTCTTTTAAGACTGCCAAGTTTAAATTATAAAACACAACCAGGACAGGAGTGTTTGCAATAGACCAAGAGGGTTACCTGCCATAATTTCAGCCCACAGACAGGGAGAGAAGTTGTGAAGCAGATCTGCCCTGGAGCTAGCACAAGATAAGTCATCAGCTTTCAGCAGCCATTGCGCTTCAGCATCCTTCCCTTTTGTGCATCAACTATAGATACTGGTATGACAGAGAACAGCCAGACTCTCTGGCACATTACAGTCCCCTCTGTTGCTGCTGTGGGTAGTTTTTTCCATCACAATGTACACAAAATGCCTCCTCTCCCCCACAAGTGGAGCTGTCAAATAAGACCTGCTGTTGCTTCATCCACTACTCATGTCCCTTACAGTATTTATTCAAGAATAAAGTTACCTGTAAAATTTCAAATTGTCCAAGTGTGTGACTTTCAAAATCTACTGGGTATTTTCTTTGTTGCCATTGGTACACATAACTTCCAATACTTCAGAAACCCAACATTTACAGAGAAAACCAGTTTCCCCCTCAGTATTATGATATGTATACACAAATCTGCTGAAGCAGAGCAGAACATGTAACGATTCCCAGTGTGAGTTCACCAGGACACTGTCACCACCTTCCCTTGTCTTGCACTGGCCTTATTCAACACTGTACCACAACAATAACTCATTCTCCTTGAAAACTCTCAGGGGACTCTCCTTTTTGGTTCCTCCAGTTGAAAAATTATTTTCAACGATGGTGTACATGTGTCCCTGTTTCCTCCTCTATTAAATGTTGGTCATCCGATTCTTCCTACATTAGTCTTTCTCTTTACAGATGCTATCTCACAATCCTACATTATCTGAAAATTTCACCTAACTACTGCCTTGTGCTCTCATCACTAATAAAAATGTTAAATAAGTTTGATTCCCCAGACACAACCTAAAGCACCAATTTCCCTTAACATCAGCAAAGGTCAGATTAACCATTATGCTGTGAAACATACTCAAACGCTATATTTGATTTGTACTAATTAAAACATTCACAGATATTTCAGTTGTGGTACATATCACTGGTAAAAGGATACTGTGACAATTTGAATAACAAAATTATTTACCACAGAATCATAGAACATCCTGAGTTGGGAGGAACTCATAAGAATCATCAAGTACAATTCCTGACTCCATACAGGACCACCCAGAAATCAGACCATATGTTTAAGGGCATTGTACAGACATTTCTTGAACTCCAGCAGCTTGGGGCAGTAACTACTGCCCTGGGAAGTCTGCTCCATGCCCATCACCCTCTGGTGAAGAACTTATCCTAACACCCAATCTACAGTTCTATGCAGTTTTCTCAGGTCAAGTCGCTGTCACCAGAAAGCAGAGCTCAGCACTGCCCCTCTGCTCCCCTCATGAGGAGCTGCAGACCACCACAAGGCTTCCCCTTAGGCAAAGGAGTATAAAATCTTGCTGTCTCCTAAAAATATTTTACTTGCTTAGTGGTTGTTTTTTTGGGTTTGTTTGATTTTTTTTTTTTTTTTTTTTTTTTTCAAATAACAGTAAGAAGCACAAACCTCCTGCCACTCAGTAGCTTTTAATTTGGAGGTATGAAAACAAGAAATAAAACACAAAAATTAAATGAAAGTCTAATTAAATGCAACCCAAGAAATGAAGGGATTATTCAAGCAAAGATTCCTTTTCAAGGGCAAGTCAGGAAAACACTCAATTATCCTGAGCCAACACAGAGCTGTTGTGCTGCTCCAGATGGGGCTCCACAGGAAACACTGAGTCCATATTTTTTACATTTTCACTCTGGATTCCGAAGGGAAGTCACTTTCTAGAGACATTTGGGTGAGATTTTTGAGAGACATTTAAAATGCTGTAGTTAAGAAAGCCAAAATGAAGTCTGAAAGCTCTCATCAAATGCAGGGTATCGCTGCATGCAAAACCAGCTAGCTTCAGTGTGTTTGATGAAGATCGGATTTTTATAAAACAGGCCAATTTACTGCATATGTAAATGACACCTTACTCTTCCTTTGAAACAATCTATTATTCTGACCAGCTCCATACTTAAGAAGCAAACTATAAGTTCTAAGTACTATGCTTCAGTGTATCCTATTTCAAGAGGATGCCATCTTTCAGAAGAGATTCATAATCATATGGACTAATGAAAGAGCGAAGTAGAAAAAGTATATACAGAAAAATTTAAACAGCTCCCACTCTATGCTTTGACAGGGGACAATGGAATAGAACAGGATATTCAAATTCTGACAGGCAAGGAAATAAAAGGATCTGTTTACATCTTCATTCCCTGGAAAATTGTTCCTCTTCAATATGGAATGCACCTTAGCCTCCCAGCCTGTTGAAAACAGCTGGAGCACAATAACTATGACTAGCAGCTCCTGAAGCCCAAGCTAATACATATTCTGTAACCCAGTGCCGTGTAAATCAAGTGCCTGTTGTTTTGAGAGTCAGAGAATGACTTGGCAAGTTAATTTATTTGAGAAGATGGAAACTGTTATATCATAATCAATGAAACAATATTTGCAGTATTGCAAACAATTTTTGAAACATTTACTGTATTACAAAACCATATAAATTCTTGCTTTAATTTTTAGCATACTATTTTGCAGAGCTTCTTTCCTCTAAAA